TTTGAGCAGCTCCAGGTTCGTATCATAGAGAATTTAACGCAGAAATTGAACCTAAGTCAAACTGGTGCTACAGATGATGCTTCTAAATCTAATGTCGAACATATTATTAATTCTATCCATGAGTTTAATTTCGATGGTTCGGTTGGTATTACCTTCGAAACCTGGTTCAGGAAATACGAAGATTTATTTAAGGTCGACCTCAGAAAACTTGATGACGCCGCCAAGGTCAGAATACTCTTAAGGAAGCTTGGGACAACAGAACATGAACGCTATAGTAACTTTATTCTTCCGAAGAACCCACGAGACTTTAGTTTTGATGAAACAATTCAAACCCTGTCTCAAATCTTTGGAGAACAGTCGTCTCTATTTAATATCCGTTACCAGTGCTTGAAGATAACGAAAGAATCAGGAGATGACTGGGTGAAACATGCAGGTATTGTGAACCGAGAATGCGAGAGGTTCAAGTTGTCTTCCATGTCTGAAGACCAGTTTAAATGCTTAGTATTTGTCTGTAGCCTGCGTTCACCTGAGGATGCTGACGTCCGAACGAGAATCCTAAGCAAACTTGAGCACTGTCCCAACATGACCCTGCAGGAAGTGACTAATGAATGTCAAAGGTTAGTGAATTTGAAGCACGATACCTCGATGGTAGAAAACACTAACCAGTTCCTCCACGTTAATGCTGTTCAGAGGAAAGTCGAGCAAGGTTCCAGCATACAGAATTATCGAAATGACAGCGGTAAACCATCATCTCCATGCTGGTTATGCGGAGGTTGGCATTTCAAAAGGTTTTGTCCGTTTAAAAGTCATCGTTGTACTACGTGTTCCAGGAAAGGACACAAAGAAAGTCATTGCAAAACCCGAAAACACCGTCAACCTAAAGTTTATTCTAAAAGATTCAAGCCATGCACGGCCAATGTGACGGTAGCTGCTAACAGAATCGGCTCCCATAATCGTAGAAAGTATGTTTCCCTCAAGATTAACGGGTACGATGCCTGCTTACAGCTAGACACAGCCTCCGATATAACGCTTATGAGCAGGAGGACGTGGGAGAAAATCGGGAGGCCGAGAATATTTTCAACCTATCAGTCAGCACACGGCGCATCTGGGGGGATTATAAACATTGCTGGTGAGGTTCACTGTAAAATCACAGTCGCAGAGCTTACAAAGAAGGGATTAATATTTTTGACAGAACGGCCAGCACTCGACTTATTGGGACTTGATTGGATAGAAGAGTTGAAATTATTAGATCGTCCCATAAATTCAATCTGCAACAACGGCACTATGTCGAAAGTTGGGGACCCAACATTGTTTCGTGAGGGAGGGTGAAGTCAGCAAATGCAGTCTGGATATCTACGCCGTTTCTTTAAAACAAGGGGAGGTATTAGGTCGGCTCATAAAGAGCCCAACCAATCAGCGATTAGTTAGAAGCTATGCTACTAAAATAACGAGGTCCTGATTGGCTGTTTAACATACTGCTACTTTGGAATCTCAAGGTCTTTTAATTACTATAAAACCCCTGTTTTTCTGTACATAAATGAACCTTGTAGTAAAGTACTTCTCTCATACTCGTGTCTTCTTACTGGTGTTCAAGTCGCAGAGTAGTGCTAGCCTGGGGTTATCCGAATAGCTTAGGATCTGAATATAGCGTTCAACCTATAAGATATAACAAATCTCTCTAACATAACGTATTGTTTCATAACAAAAGCGGAAAATTGTCATATAAACAGGTCCAAATATGTGGACACATGAAATATCCTGAGACGTATACATCTAAACTTAGTTGTTTGTTTGACAAAAGAGGTCTGGTGTGCTTAGTGGCGATGACAGATAGCTTACGAAGACATTCAAGTAAGTGCCGTGCTCTGTGTTTGTGTACATTATCACTAACCACCTCGTTCGCCCTGTAAAATTGGTTCAGAAAACGTCAGTGAGTGTTCGTAGACGTAGGGCAACAGTGAATCTGTTAGGCGTCCCTGGTTGTCAGAGATCAACTTATAACAGAAAGTGAAATGAAATTCTAACGACTTTCATGAAAAAAGATAACTTCTTTCCGTTTATTCAACTTACTAACTAAGGGACGATCAACGGTGATTGACTTTGGCAGTGATTTATGTTGTGGTAATAGCAATAAACAATGAGATTAATTATAATGAGAACCTATCAACCATGATAGCATCCGGTAGTCACAATTATGGGATAGTATCACAGATGCCTGTCGCGTTCTGAACGCGTTTCGAGATCTCGTTCCGGACTTATGAAGGAGCATCAGATGTATCCTACTAACGTGTACAAGCGTTCAACCCAAGTTCATCATCAGTGATGTTCACTGCCATTCCGGATTTAAAATCATTCCGCTAGGATATGTTGAACTTTGGTTGTCTACTTGTGATTTTGATAAGTTGAGCTTGCATATTTGTGTAGACAGACTTTCTATTTTAAAGAGCTCCAGTCAACAGTTATGGCCTATATTAGGACACATCGTTGCCCCTAAATTTAGTGATTTGTTTATGATAGGTGTCTATGGGGGGAATTATGAGCCGTCAAAATTCTGCGAAAAATCGGCGGATACCATTTCCGAACTAAAACAAATGAGGGGTCTGCACAGTGTAACCTATTGGCTACACTTGCTGAGATCTCCTATCTTTGGTATTTTGATCAGAAGTCCTTCTTTCCAGTCAGTTGGTACCTGTTATTCATCCCAAATCTTACTGAAGAGAATATGAAGTATTTTTGCAGTCGCCGCTAAATCTGCTTTCAGTGCCTCTGCTAAAATGTTGTCTAGTCCTGCTGCTTTGCCACTTTTATTTGTCTAATAGCCATGCTGATCTCTTCAGGTGTTGGTGTGCCGGAATCAATTGGGGGTTCAGTAGGTGCTGCTTCGATTCGGGGTGGATTCAGGGGAGCTAGTCGATTCAAGAGTTCTTTGGAGTGTTCTACCCACTTGTTTCGTTGTTCCTCGATGTTGGTGATCACCTGTCCTGCCTTGCTTTTCACTGGTTGTTCTGGTTTATGGTAATTTCCGGCGAGTTTCCTTGTTATATCATACAATTGTCTCATGTTTCCTTCTCCTGCAGCCTTTTCCGCTGTCATTGTTAAAAATTCTACGTATTTACGTTTGTCTGCTCTTATGCTCATCTTCACCTGCTTGTTCCCTTCTGAGTATATGGCTTGTGCCTTGATTTTTTCTGCTCTTGTTCGACTGATATTGATTGCTGCCTTCTTGTTCCTCCTTTCTTCAGTATTATCCAGTGTACCAACAGTGATCCATTCCTTGTGATGGTGTTTCTTGTGGTCCAGAACCTCCTGACATGTTGAAGTGATTGCCTCCTTGATACCTTTCTAGTTGTTCTCCATAGTAGTTCCCTCTCTAAACTTTTGTGGTGTTGTCCGCCCCATTTTCTAGTGCTTCTTGTGTTTCAGTTTCATCTTGGAGACCAGCAAATGATGATTTGATGCTACATCAGCTTCTCTCCTGGTTCTCACATCCCCCGTCGCCCTCCTGAACTTTTTGTTGATGCAGATATGGTCACTTTCGTTCTGTGAATGAGTATATGTGGGGATATGGTGCCGCCTATGACCAGTTTATTGAAGTCACATAGGTTGCAAATCTCTCACCATTTTTCGTTCCTTTCTCTCAGTCATTCCATGTCGTCCCATGATGTCTTCTTATCCGGTGTTGTCCATTCCAACCTTGGCACTTGGGTCTTCCATCAGAAGGGTCAAGTCATTTGTTCGTTATTTCTCAACGACTGAGTGCATCCTATCCTCACTGTCTTCATTGTAATTGTTGAATGGTGCATAGCTTTGTATGACGTTCATTGTAATGCCCTCTTTCTTAGTTTTGAATGAGGCTTTGATGATACTTGGTCCATGAGTTTCACATCCTATAAGTGCATTTTGTGTTTGTTTGGACAGCGTCAATGCAGCTCCTTGTGTATGCAGGGCATTTTCTTTTTAATGATCATAGTATACTAGCAGCTCTCCTGAAGCTGGTATTTGTTATCCAACCTGCGTCCAACGTGTTTTACTGATCCCAAGCACCTCCAGGTTGTATTTTTTCACTTCTGCGACAATATGGAAGACTCATCCGGTCTCCTACATTGTCCGGACGTTCCATGTGCCTAAATAAAGGGTGTCTCTGGTTGTTGTCCCTTCTATACAGACTAAAAATCGGAAATTTTGACGTGTTTCCTGATTATTTCGTTCTTATTTTCGAACGCATTTTCATTTTTACTTCTCCCCTGTTTGCCCTTATTTCCATTTTGTTGGTTGTTTGGTGTAGAACAATGTACTTCAGGCGTTAATATTCAGATAATTGGAGGGATAGTATTGAAGATGCCACAAGTATTTGTAGTTTGACATCACTTTAACCAGTAACACCTGTAACTGAATCGTGCTCACCCAGTGAAATCAAAAGTCAGAAGTAAGGAGATTTGAGGGTATATTTGATAAGTTATAAATATATCGAGAGGTGACTGATCTAATCTGGCTACTGGTCGTAAGACAGGCTGAAAACGGCGGTTCTACCCGTGATCTGGTGCGGATGCGTGACCGAGAGCCTTCAGTTAGATGAGTCAATTAAAACTAATGTGGTCAATATAATATGTCGAGAACTTACAGAGCTGTTTGTTTTGAGCATTCATTTACCGCTACAGTATTAATAGAACATAGTGTTTCTGTCGATGTATGAGCAAACAGAAAAAGATTGGTATAATTCAATAAAGGTAGGCATGTACATACAGCCCAAGAATTTCGTTAATTATGGATGATTTTACACAATATACCTCATAATATTATCATTGAACACGCAAACATCAGCTGGGACGACACAAGATTAGCATCGTTCCATGATGTTAATTCATGTAAATCTAATAAATATCTAAAGTAAAAACTCAGACATATTGCTACAAGTGGAAGAAGTAGTGAACGCACCTTTAACTTACTCACTCAATAAAAAAGACTTTACCACAAACAAAGTCGTAAAGTCGTTGTACACTTCATTGGCTTCCTGTTCTCAATACAAGAATATTACTCTGGATCTTGATATTTGTTATACCAAGCTAAATACATTCATGTTTACAAAGCGTTACTTCAAATTACGCGCTTTCTGAAAAAGTCGAGCACTTGCGAATTTGTTGAAAAGGGTAAGATAACTGACAGTTGCCTACAGTTTTGAATGACTTCAAATTTAACAACTTCCGATTTGGCACTGTTGGACAAGTATATCGATGAGACTCCGACCGCCGTCAATATTGTCGTTCCAATAATATCAGTTGTGCTTTTCTTTGCATCTGTTGTTATAACGTATTTCGTTGATGACCCTGGTATTAAAACTTTGGAAAACGCTTCACCAGAAGTAACTTTTCTTGTAGTCATTAAATGCATCTCAGGATAATTTGAAGCCATTTTCCGAGTCGGATAGAAATCACCTTAGGTATTTAGCAGAGCGCAAGCTTTATGTTGACACGAAGGGTCACACATTTTCCGCGTTCACACCTTCACGATCAGCAGCAGAGTCCGATACTCACGCTGGTCACTCGACTGGTGTGGACGGTGGACGCCGCAGAGCATGCTCTGAATCTCATGCTCCCAACTTTCCCGACATGAATTCTGAAACACAAGTTAGTTATAAAATTCTGACTTATTTTTAGATTATTTTGCAACACATGCTTATACGTGCGGGGTGTGCACACAATAATACTGATAGCTTGTTTTCCGGGAATTCCGGTCGTTCACGGTCTGGGTTTAGCAATCCATTCTCCTCCTTGAAAAAGTATGTGAGCATTTTTCATTTCTTACTTTACCGAAAGGCCTAAATCCACAAATGTTGAAACTCAGGAATGCTGAAACGCGCAGCCATAGTCCGGCATTGAATGTAAACTGTGGATTCATAGCGTATTCATGATGTATATCTACAAATACTGTTATTATATTTATTCTGTTGTTAGATAAAGAATAATATTCTTAAAGTAATAATATCAGTGTGCTTTCTACAGACTTTTTAATTTGACTCCCTAGAATCATCAATAACACATTTCTTGTTTCCTTAACCGACTTTAATCTCGTCATGAATTATATTTATAATGTTGTCTCCATTTTATGTTATAATGGATATCTTAGATTTCCTATTTAAATGTTTTCTATTACTCCCACGTGTCACATTTTTCGGGAGTTGTTTTTTTAAACGAAATAATGAAAAAGAAACCTTTGTTAATACGTACCTTTAAATTATTTCTAGCATATGTATCTTAGTTTATAGCCTGAGATTTCTTTTATCAAGGGATAATCATTCTCTGCGCTTGTTTTTGGACTATTTACAACTTTATTGGATAAGTCCGTAGCGAAAACTTTATCGAAGTACAAAAGAACCGCCCTTATTCAGTCAAGGGAAAATATGGACACAAAAATATTGCCTTGCTGGCAAAACTAGATTGTAACGAAAAATGAACTGAATACTGCTTTAAAAATTTAGCTAGGATAATCCTTTGTGTAAGTCAGTAGTCTGTCTGAGTGCCCCTTTGTTCAGGTCTCACCCAAAACGACCTGTTTTTATTTTATTACTATCGTCGTAGGAAGGTAAGTTTCAGTTTGAAAAGCACAGGAATATGAGTGGCCTGTGTTGGTCCAGGAAATGGTGGTCCCTCAGTTGATTCAACTTTTTCAAACCCATCGACAAATGGCGCTCCTATCTTGTGTTAGGGTAACTAGTTCCGTTCATTAATGACTCGGCGGGAAAGTTAATAGTCAGCTGACAAGTAATCTGTTCTGGGATAACCAGTTTGTAGTGTCCTTGTAAATTCTGTCTCGGGAGACAAGAAAAGTGAGGACATGTCAGTTGCAAATTTATCATTAATTTGGAAACCAGTGCTTCTATATGACAAGAGAGTTTCAGTTCAGTCGGTCTCTCGTAATTGCTTTTCAAACCAAAACAGCACCAGTCCATGAAGTCTGACAATTGGACTGAGTCATATCAACGTGTGTAGACTACCTGGTTTGAGTTCGCGTGAATACTATAACCGATGGTTAGAAACTGAATGGCAAGGTTCAAAGTCGTTTGCAGTGGCGCAGATGCATCCGTCCTTTGTCTTCCACCAAATTTCGTGATTATAATCTCTTCATAACTTCTTATCTCACTAAAATATATTTTCTCAGATTTCATGGACTCTTTATTTTTCCCACTATCACTGATACTGCTACGTCCTCTACTATTTTTGGAGTTGGCTTGGAAATTTCATCTCTGTGTTAACGTGGTATGACAACTTGGACCGATGTATATACGTACCAAATTCCACGTTGTGACTAACTGAGTCTCTCGTCACGGGGCAGCCTTGTGATTCCGGAAATCAGCTTAGTTGCGTTTCTTTGAACCTCTTTTAAAAAATTTGTTTTAGTCAGAGTCTTTCCGTTTGTATGTAATACTCGAGTTTAGGTCGAACGAATAATGTATACAAAGTGAAAGTTTTTAGCATTGACATAGCTAAAGGCTCTGTGCATCGACCAGAGGGTTTTAAAACCTTCGGAAGCTGTCACACGGCAATGTGCTATAGCTTTCAAGTCTTGACTAGCTATAGTTCCTGGGTTATTGTGTATCTAGACAACAGGTAGTTCTATGTTATGCATCATGTGTGTATTTGTATCATAACGATCAATATCCATCATAATTCACTTGGAAGCATGCATCGGCAACTGCCAAATTCTAGACCATTCAGATCATTTTGCAGGCCATTTCGAAGCACTAGATTATCGTCCTCATTATTTATCACTTTCCAAAACTTGTTATTGTCAGCTTATAGCAAAATCGATGACAATAGGAGACTGTGAAGGTCATTCACGTGCTTGAGGAATATCACTATATCCTGGGCCACTCTACAAAGCATGGCTCGCTAGATACACAGCTTGGAGTTGATCTGTACTCTTTGTTGACGTCCAACTAGGAAATCGTTTATTCATATAATTAAATTACCTCCAATCACGATGTTACTTAATTTAGAACAGCCTGTTGTGTGGGACTTTGTCAAAAGCTTACTAAAGTCAGTGAATGCTACATCTATAAGTAGCTTTTTGTTATAACTCGTGTGTCTGAGTGCCCTGTTTATATATGACGTGACGATGCCGCCAATTAGAGAGCAGTGGTTTTATCGATCGGAACAGGGATACACGAAAACCGTATGAGCAGTCTACAGTACTTGTCGGTCCTGCTATCTGCCTAGCCCAACGAGTTAAGTCCAGAACGCCGAAAGCAGCCTTGGCAATATGAATCATTATTTTCAAGAATATTGGGTTTTATATACCAATCAAACAGACCAAATCGCACTATAAAATAGGAAATAACATTAGTACAGGATTTAGCTAAATGTGGCCGTAAATAGGGGAAACAGTAATTAATAGACTGGGTATAACTCGGGAATGGTAAATCGTGTAGTAATAGTCTATGGATCAAAATAAAGCTCATAATAAAAGAAACATGAATATGAATAGTTAAGCTACTTAACAGCTATACAATAGGAAATATACACATCATAATTGTTCATAAGTAGCCCTCAAAGTCACCATTCATAATTCTCTTCGGGATATAACACTTTTGATATTTAAAAGCGCATCAGCTTCCACGAGGCATAGATAACTTGTTTTCAAGCCGTGTTGTTTTTCAGAAAGAATCAAGTCTTCGTCAAAATACTTAAACAACTTCCGATAAAATTTACTAGTTACTTTAGTAATCTAGGATGCGTTTCGTTAGATTCCATAGATTAACTTATATCAAGCTTATTTAACAGACCGAAGATATCGAGTTCTTTAATGGTCACAATGTCCGGTGTGTATAGGAGGTCTTTTATGAAGCGAATGTGAGGGCATCTCTACGGTATATACGTTGTTAAAATAATTAGAATACTTGAGCTTTATGGTAGTCGCCTTCCGCCAATGATGTGATGCTACTATCTCCACATTTTGTATGAATACCGCACCACTTCTTAATTCTTTTGTTTATATACGGACATAGGCGTTTTGACTACTCTAGAGTCCTCAGTAAGCTTTTCTTCATGCAATCTTCTAGACTTGCGTAGGGTTGAGACATAAAAATTTGGGTTTCCTGGTATTGCGGCTTTGTCTCGTCAGTGACCCTAATATCCCACATACTTTTCCCTCAAAGTGAAGGGTAAGAACCTCCTTACTGAAATATGGTGGGGGAATTTCTCAGATCCTTTAGTGCAGTCAAAGGAACTTGCGGTGCTGTGACTGGTATATATAAATTCCTGAACACTTCCGAAGCCGTTTCTATATGTAGTCCAGGTTCTACTGTACAATCTACTGAGGACGCTGAATATATAATTTTGTATACATATATTTTTTTCAAATATTTGTTCTGGTTTGGAATGACATTGTTTTGACAACAATATGTAGATCAAAGACTAGGACTGCATAGTCACTCTTACCTAGGGTCGGCGTATAGTTGACGTTTGTGAATTCATCACTGAAATGAGTCAATAAGAATTATAGTAAGGATGGTTTGTAGCCCGGGTTGTATATAGTTGCTTCTCTCACATGTTGCACTAAATCACATGTTATACATGCGTCAACTATTTCTTATTTGAAAGAATTTACTGACAACTTAGTTCTTGCTTTGCCAATCCTTATGTTTTCATCAGATCCTCCATGTTCATCGACGATGCTACTTAGATACGTGAAAGATTTCACCTCTTCCAGAGCTTCTCAATCAAGTGTGATTGAGTTGGTGTTCTCCATGTTGTATTTGTGGATCTCACTTTTTCCTTGCGTATGTTGAGGCTTACTGATGCAGAGGCTGCTGCTACACTAGCTGTTTTCACTTGCATTTATCGGTGTGTATGGTATGTTAGGGCCAGATCATCTGCGAAGTCCGAATCGTCTAGTTGATTCTGAGAGGTCCATTGTATTCCGTGCTTCCAGTCAAATGTCGAGGTCTCCATAATCCAGTCAACCACCAAAAGAAAGAGGAAGCAGCCTTGTCTGACTCCAGTCTATAGTTGGAATGCGTCTGTCAGCTGTCCTCCATGCAACGTTTTGCAGTGTAGTCGTATGATTTTGACAATCCTCTCAGGTATTCATACCAAAGTGTCGAAGAAGTTTACATCACGCTATCCTATCCACACTGCCAAACGCCTTCTCATGGTCAAGGAAGTTAATGTATAGTGATGAGTTCCACTCAACCGATTGTTCAACGATGATCCGTAGTGTCACGATTCGGTCTGTGCAAGACTGATCCTGACGGATTCTAGTCTATTGATCTGGAAGCTGAGTGTTTACTGAATCTTTCATCCGGTTCAGCAACACTCTGGTGAAAAATTTTCCTGACACTGACAACAGTGTGATGCCTCTGTAATTCTCACATTTGCTCAGATCGTCTTTGTTATTGTCTTGTTATCTTGATGAGGTGTCCTTCTTTCCAGTCTATCAACATTTGTTCTTCCTACCAAATCTTCCTCAATAGCTTTGCAGTTACTTCAATGTCTGATTTTAGTGCCTCAGCTGGTATGTTGTCATGTCCTGCTGCTTTCCCATTCTTGATTTGTTTGATGGCCATCTTGATTTTTTTCGATCGTTAGTGGAGTGACATCTATAGGTAGGTTTGTGTGTGCTGCTTCGATGTCCGGTGGATTCAATGGAGCTGGTCTATTCAGCAGTTCCTCGAAGTATTCTGCCCATCTTTTCCTCTGTTCTTGAATCTCCGTGATTGTCTTACCTTCTTTGTCCTTGACCGGTTTCTCAGGTTTACTATATTTCCCTGCCAGTTTCTTTACAGTGTCATATATTTGTTTTATATTTCCTTCTCTTGCAGCTTTTTCCGCTGTCGTTGTTAGGTATTCCACGTATTTCTGCTTGTCAGCTCTAATGCTCTTCTTCACTCGTTTGTTTGCTTCTGTGTAGTCAGCTTGTTCCCTGAC